GTGATTACAGCGCCGTTAACTGTCATTGCCAGACAAATAAATCGGTTTACTCGACATCAGAAAAACCACAGTGTCCTTATTTGAACTACAATTAGTTTGAAGTGATCTTTGCCCATATCAAAGTGTGACGGCAGCCTAGGATTGAACTTTCTGATCACTTGTTGAAATGGCTCTTGTTACGACTGTATATACAGTCTACATATATAGAAGGCAGGGAATACGAGTATCCACCGTAAATTTTTTCTGAGTGACTACAGAACTGCAAATAAGTAATCTTACAGACACCAAGAATTCTCCTTGCACACCGTACAGATGGTCAGGTCCGAACTCTTTAGGTACTTAAAATAATGGGTTACTGAGGTTTTTTGGTGTACCCATTCAGAAATATATATTGAATAAGTCGGCATTCATCAGATAAGACAGACCTCCATAGTCAAAGCATTCTCTTTGGAAAGTCTCTCTGCTCCCCCTTTGAGTTAGCCGTCTAGTATTGCTTTACGACCTATTAAGTGTTGGCATCATGCTGACGAATGGCGCGATTAATTTCTTCCTTCGTTTCTTCATCTGATTATGTTCGGCTAAAGTATTATTTTAGCACAGCCGTTTGTTTTCGTCTTGTACAGCGTCCGTCACGCTCCTCCTTCCCTTACCAATTCATTTATAGTCAAAAGATATTGTAAAATTGAACCTAGACGTGCTTGGGCCAAGTGACTGACAAAATAAAACAGGTAGTCCACATGTGGCACACATGGTCTTGTCCCGGATTTCACTTGAGCGACTCAGATCCCACCTAAACGGGAAAGCCATAGGAGCCAAATCCAGAAGTCCTTGACTTCGCTTCAGTCCCGAGACGACGGAGATACCTCGGCGGTTGGTATCGTACCAGATTAGAGCGTGTCAGATTTTTTGTAATGAAAAATTTACTTAAGTGCCGCGAAGAGGGATTCTCCGGTATCGACCTTACTCTCTCGTGTACCAATCCAATTTCCGAGTCTGTCACCCATCAGGCGCTGGTATTGAGTGCGGTGGCTAGTGTGGCGTGAAACCTATGTCCAGGTGTGTCATCACATCCTTCGTGTATGGCGGTAATTGTGGGCCCGCACAGACTTTGCGCAGCCCGATTACTGCATAACGCAAGTCAGTTTAATTTCCGTTTTGATCTAACACATCTACAGCGTGTATGTAATCAGTAAATTAACTGACGTATATTGTCTAAAACAGTACCCGTAGATTCACAAAACACAACTGCCGGCACTTTGTTCACAGAGGAGGCGCAATTCCCAGTCATATACCGGGGCTAATATTTGCAGTAGAACCCATATTGAGAGGAGTAGATTCCCCTGCGCGCATGACTTTTGATAAAGTAAAACAAGACAAAACTTCTATAAAAACCCTATCAGTCACCAGACTTATTGTCAAGCAACTATTGTTCAATTTTGCCAACCTGCTAATCATTATATGTATTTTTACATTTTCATATTTAGGGCCCAGAAGGCCTCACCAGCACAACTTAAGTGTTGTAGCAAAATAAGTACAAAGTGGATAATCGCTGCTATGTGTGAGCAACCACATAAATAACAAAGTGTGTAGTATGGTAAGCGGCTTCCTTTATATTCGCCAACATGTCGTCATTTTAAAAGAACAGCCGACCGTCTTTAAAAAATATGGTGAAATAAGAAGGAAACAGCGAAAAACTCCTTTCATGAAAGCGGATGCGAAGTTCAGTGAGTTCCAAATTTGAAAAAAAGCGTAAGAGAAAAAAATATAAAACTTAATCGGTTGATTCATAGGATTGATTTCGATGCAGTAAGATAGGACCGTGGTTGTTGACGAAAACGTATGGGAGTTCGAAACGCTCCTTGTCGTCGGAGAACTCATATAACAGCAAGAGCTACCGTTCACCACCGTAACACCGTCCGACTGGCTACAGGATCAACCATCAGGGAGGTGAGACAGAAGGAGCTCACTTCGGACAACAAGGTCGAAACGAAAGGGGAACACTAAAGGTCACGAAATTATCACCGAAATGCCGGAGATGCGACCTTGTGGGTTGCAGAGTCCCTCGAAAAGCTGGCGAAAACAGAAGAACGCACCATGATCATCACCAAAGACCGCGTATACCATCGTCAGGCTTGTAAAACGGAGAAGGGTTTTTGAGCTTTGGCTATGATGGTTGAAAAGAGGAGGGGACAAAACGGCTGCGAATATTGACCCTGCA